TCGTGGATTAGCATGCCTGTATCCCTCCAGCTTTCGTGTGTGTACCAAGCACATCTTGACACTGCCTGGCAAGATTAAAAAATCACGTCTCATCTCTTGTATCGCGGGCTTTGTTGAATAATTTTTGAACGGGGTCTTGTGTATCCAAGCTAGCCTCGACTCACCGTGTAGCCTGAGCTGATCTTGGTCTGCTGAGCATCTCTCTCCAGTCACCCGAGTGCTTTGTTTGACCACGTGCCCCGCCACACTCGGTTTCTGTGGTGCTGGGGACTGAACCCAGGGTTTTGTGCATGCTGGGCAAGCACTATCCACCGAGCTATGGAGACCAGCCCTAGTTTTGAAGCTTAGCATGAGATCGCATGAAATGCCTCAGCATAGCCCAGCTTCGTGGGAGGCAATGATGCACTTTGCCGCTCAGTCTGGCACCTGAGCACCAGGGGACAAGAGGACTCTGGGAAATACCTGTGTGACGGTCCTGCAGAATTCTTTCTGCTGTCTTTTACTTCGTTGCTGATTGTGCTCTGAGCCTGATCTTGGCTAATAAGTCACTTGATTTGGGGGGGAAAATCACTTCTCCTTTCTGAGCCTTGCATCCCTCATTCATAAATGAGGTTACACCAGATACAGTCACTGCCGCTCTGTCACCGAGTGCCACGTCTCATTGCATGAGGAAATCTAGACATTTGTGTCAGCCATTTACATCCTATATGTGCACGTATTTAAGCTATCAAAATCCGCTTTGTTCTCGGCTGAATGCCGTCTCCTCTTCATGCGCTCGATTCTTCAGCTCACCATCGCTTACATGTCGGATCTGCTTTGCCCCCCTGAATTCTCTGATAAAGCGTATTATTCCAACCATTTATATTTAACATTAAAGCTTAATCATGAAGTTGTTCACCATAGAAAATTATTAAATAAGTGAGTTTGGAATGGGCTGGAGCAGCTGATAAACATGAGAGAGTGTTTCAGAGCGAGCTCGGAGAAGACATTTATGCTTACAAAACAATGGAGAATCACAATTAAGAGCTCTGGGGAGCTCAAGCTGATTTGTCCAGCCATTACATAGTCATTTCAATTTAAATTAAAATTGTAACTATTTTCTAGTCTACTAAAATATGAGGTGTCACATTAAGAGTTTTAATGGTGCGTTCTCTGGGGAATGCAGAAGCGGGAGGCTGCAGCCCATAAATAGCGATACGGTGCAGGGAGAATAAATTCTCAGCCCAAAATGAATATGATCAAAACAGAAATGACAGCGGATTATCTTATCCCCTCTAGTGAAGCGCAGCTCACACATTAGAGCACAGAGACAGTTCACAGGGTGTCCAACTCCATCTCACTTTGTCAGAACTGACGGGAAGAACACAAAACATTTGAATGGCTTGATAGACAGGCTCAAGTGTGGCCACGTATTTTGTTACAAAGTAAAGTATGTTTTTAACCACAGAAAGCGAGGGGATAGGAATGTTTGATATTTCTGATTAGAGCAACGAATCAGTCTAGGTTTTAACCACCATAGAGCATACTCACCGCAATCCGGCTTCTAAAGGAGAGAGGTCATCAAATGCAGTCATGTAGCTGTGTGTGTGTGTGTGTGTGTGTGTGTGTGTGTGTGTGTGTGTGTTTTGGAGTAGTTGGTCAGGCTGGAGGAAGGCCCAGTGACTGGACACAAATGATTTGGGACTTTATTGGATTTTAAGTGAGTTAAGACCAAAGACCATTTGGAAGCCTGGAGAAAGAAGCGAAAGTCACAGCCAGGAGTAAGAGATTTACTGGAACTAAATTTGGCTGAGCCTCCTGGTCGCCAGATGAAACAGAGATTAGGGGATTTTGTAATTATGATTTTCAGGAGGCTTTCATGCTTATGAGCGCCTGGAGCAATGATCCTCGGCTATGAATACACATCAGCGGTGTGCGGGGATAAGGTCGACAGGGAGCCCCACCCTAGCCAGTCTGTCTGGCTCAGCCAAGGAGGGCAGGACACGCACATGTGTGTTCTTAAAACACCTCTCAGTGGCCTGGGGGCCAGGCACACTTCCTGTCAGTGGCTTAAGACAGACAAACTAATATTCACTGTTCAGTAGAAGACACAGAAATCCTTTTAAAACGTTTAAATTCTGTTTTTTTTAAAGTTTAAGAGTGTGTGTGTGTGTGTGTGTGTGTGTGTAAAATATGAACATGCATGCAGGTACTGAGGAGCCCAGAAGTGCTGGATCCCCTGAACTGGAGTTACAGGTGTTGGTAGTTGGCCGAAGGTTCTGGGAATCTGTCAAGTCCTCTGCAGGAACAGCCCGTGCTTTTAATCAGATCACTCTCAGCCTCCAGACACAAACTTCTTAAAAGAGCCAGTTACTATACTGATTTTCTTTTTCCTTTTGGGACAGGGTTCAGTGCGTCGCTCAGATTGGCCTCAAATTTGAAACCTTCCTGCCCTGGTCCCACAGGTCCTGGGCTCACAGGCACACACCGCAGTACCCAGCTGAAACCATTCTCAGTACAAGAGGGCAACCGAGAAGAATTTCATGAAGACATTGCCAAAACAATGCGACTTCAGGTTTTCTTTGACAAGACACTACAGACACCTGCATTTTCAGTGATTTGTCCTTGAAAGATCACACATTTCACACAGAAATGCTGTCTGGGAGACTGTTTACTTTTGAACTTAAAAAAAAAAAGGTCAGGTAGTGTGGTACACACCTTTAATCCCAGCACTCAGGAGGCAGAGGCAGGCAAATCTCTGAGTTTGAGGCCAGCCTGGTCTACAGACCAAATTCCAGGACAGCCAGGTATACACAGAGAAACCTTGTCTTGAAAAAAAATGTTTTTTAATTGTATGTGCATAGGTGTTTGCTTGTGTGTCTGTGTACCATGTGTGTGCAGTGCCAGAGCCGGCCAGAAGAGGGTGAGAATGTCCTGGGAAAGGAACCCCCATCTTATTATCTTAGCCCGTGGGTAAGTAAAGGCATTCCTTTACACTGCAGCTAAGATTTTAGGGGAAATTTGTGTATGGTTTTGGGTTGACATATAATAAGTTGTATTTTTATTCCATTTAAAAATAATAGAAAATAGGCCAGACAAGGTGGTGCATGCCTTTAATCCCAGTACTCAGGAAGAAGAGGCAGACTGAACTCAATGAGTTTGAGGCCAGCCTGGTCTACATAGTGAGTTTTAGGCCAGCAAGGGTAGCATATTGAGAACTTGTCTCAGACAAAAATATGAATGAATAAGTAGAAAACAAATCTGTACACACGGCTTAGTGGGTTGAGTGCTTGCTACACTTGCAGAGGACCCAAGTTCACTTCCCAGCACCACACCAGGTGGCTCATAAACATCTGTAACTCCAGCTCTGGGGCATCTGAGACCTCGGGCCTCTGTAGATGCCAGCATGTACACACATACACACACACACACACACACACACACACACACACACACAATTAAAAATAAAATAAATCTGTTTTGTTTATTTATTTTGCTCTTTTGGGAGACTACCCAGCTGCCAAATAAACCACATAGAATCTTATTCTTTCTTACAAATGCACGGTCTTAGTTTGGCTTATTCTTACTTCTAGCCAGTGTTTCTTAACTGAAATTAGCCCATTTACCTTTCTCCTCTGGGCTTTTACCTTTCTTTATTTCTGTATTTTTTTCTTTCCGTCTTTCTCCATGGCTTGCTGAGTGGTAGACCCCTGGAGTCCTCCTCCTTATCCCGCTCCTCAAGTTCCCTCTCCCCAGAATTCTTCTCATAGTTATTCTCTCTGCCTGCCAGCCCCACCCATCCCTTCTCCTGCCTTGCCATTGGCCGTTCAGCTCTTTATTAGACCAATCCCGTGTTTTAGACAGGCAAAGTAGCATAGTTTCACAGAGTTAAACAAATGCACCATAAAAGTATGCAACACATCTTTATATCATTAAACAAATATTCCATGGTATAAACAAATGTAACACATCTTAAAATAATATTCTACAACATAAATCCTTTAAAAATTAATAGAAAACATGAGCTGGGGAGATGGCTCTGCTGTTAAGTGCTCTTCCAGAGGACCTGAGTTTGGCTCCTAGCACTCATGTTGGGTGGCTCACAACCATTTGTAGCTTCTTTCAGGGGACCCAATACCTCTGGCCTCTGACGGCACCTGTACTTGTGTGCATATACCCACATGCATGCTCCTGCATGTGCGCACCCCTATAGTGATATTTTACACACACACTCACACACACAATTAGAAATATTTAAAAAAATCAAATATTAAAAAAAGTTAAGGACTGGCCGGTGATGGCACACACCTTTAATCCCAACACTCTGGAGGCAGAGGCAAGTGGACCTCTATGAGTTCAAGGCCAGCCTGGTCTACAGGGAGAGTTCCAGGACAGGCTCCATACCCTACTGGAAAACCCTGTCTCAAAAATACAAAAAATACAAAAAAAAAAACCCAAAGCAAAACAAAACAACAAAATTAACAACAACAACAACAACAAAAATTAAAAAAAAACAGAAACAAAATTAAAAAGATGTGAAATGACCCCATCCCTTCAGCCCTTGTGGGCAGTACCAGAATCCTTTTGCTGCTGGCCCCATCTGAACAGCACTGCTGGGTTCCCATATACACTTTTCAAAATTTGCATATGATTTAGACATCCAAACAATTGGAGTTTGGATTTAATGGAGACTTTTCTCATGTATTACTTTGTTCATAATGTCACAGAGAGTTTTTGAACTGATGTACACACAAAGTTTCCTTCATGATAGTGGCTGAAATGATGGATTAGAAGATAAACAAGTTCTTTGAAATCTGAGTCTTCAAACTAAGGCATCCCACCAGGAAGATGTTAAACAGGAAGGCATTACTAGCTCAAGATAGGAGGGACAATGAGAGAGCTGACAGACCCTGGGCAGCCCTGCCTCACAGAGGAAAATCAACTAAACGTGGGCAAGGAGAGCCTGGGGAGCTCACACGCCTTATTTGTGCAAGCTTGCCGGAGCGAGCACAGAAGCCCCGATGGACGCTTCTGCCAACTCCTCAGGGTTCTCTAAGAAGTCTCGGAGATCGAGGCAGGGACTGTGTCTGCTGAAGAAAAGCGGCTATGAAGACTCGGCAAAGGCTCCCAAGACTCGTTATGAAAGAGAAATGAAAACCTACATCCGCCCAAACGGGAGACCAGAAAAAAGTTCAAGAACCCCAGTGCGCCGTTCTGAGAGTCGCCCCAAATCAAAGGAGAGCCCCCTGGAGCACCCATTCGCGACGAAACTGGGAGCCATGTGGAGCGGCACTGCTGGAATTGACGAGCAGCCCGAAGGAAAGAAGGCTGCCAAGCTGAAGAAAAAGCATGAAGCCGATATTGCTGCCTCCAGACCTAAAGGAAAACCCAACGCCGCAGAAAACAGGGTGGTCAGGGCTGAAAAGAGCAAGAAAAAGAAGGAAGAGGAAGATGAGGAGGAAGATGACGACGAAATAAGTTGGTTCTAGTTAAGATTTTTTTCTCATCTATAAAGCGTTTAATACCCATGTACACAACTCACTCCTTTTAATGAGAAAAAAATGGAGATGTAGGGCTGTGTAAGATTTGTTTTGAAGCCGTATCTTGCCGTTTCTGTTGTTTCTGTACAGTTAATACACTGCCAAATGTGTCTGTCCTGGTGGTCTTTTCAGCCTGTGTTTGTTCCTGGTACAGCCTGGAGATGTAAATTCACATGGAAATCTAAAGCAGGTTTTTGTTGGTGCACGACGCAGATCAGTTATGTATGGGCACAGTAGTTTTCCTTTTAATTTTGATTTTTTTTATATTCAGTTGTTTCTGATACAGCTTATTTGAAGATAATTGTTCTGTTAACTGAATACCACTCTGCAATTGCAAAAGGAAAAAAATTGCAGCTGTTTTGTTGACATTCTGAATGCTTCTAAGTAAATACAATTAAAAAGAAAAAAAAAGAAAAGAGCCCGAGAGGGGTGTGGAGTGAGAAGGGAACTGGTAGGGACTTGTTGGCTGTGGGAGGAGGTCCGGTGAGGATGCTCAGAGCTGGTCTAGCACAGGTTTTCCTCATTCTCACCCGCTTTCTGCTTCATTCACCTCTCTCACGGTGTTGGTGATGTGTTTTCCCATGGTCACAGAGTGGCTGCAGCAGCTCAGAGCATCACCTCTGCCTTCAGGAGCAGGAAGAGAAGGCCTGCCAGTCTCTCTCGAGGAGTGTCCCTTCTCACAAGACCTGCGGCAGAATCCTGTCATCTCCCTGGTGGAACTGCTCACCCGCCCTTCAGACCTGTGAAGGAGTTTGGGAATGGTGACCCTGCTTCTTCTGGAGTCTAGAGTCCGTGATCTGCGGGCTCAAGACAGTCCCTATAAATGTCAGTTGTGGTGTTACAGGTCCGCAATCCCAGCATGCAGGAGGCTGAAGTTTGTGCTACGTGGTGAGACGCTGTCTAAAAACAAAACAAAACAAATGCCCAAGAGAAATAAACACCCCACACCACCCACCAGCCGATAAGGACGCCTGACAGCTCTTTTGACTTGCAAGTCAAGGTGAAACACTCACACAGACTTGACTGGGAGAATCTCTCTGGTGCTCCTCAGGGCACAGTGGCCTGCTGGAGTCTGGCAAATTCTGCAGCAAAGAGAATAAATTTTCTTTAAAGCCAGCCCAGTGCTTCCAAAATGTATCTGGCTACAGAATCTGTTTTATTAATGTGTGTGCTCAAGTTCCTCTCTGTGTGTGTGAATGTGTGTGTGTATGTATGTATGTATGTACGTATGTAAGACAGTCTTGGGTGTCATCCTCTGGAATTCTTTCCACTTCAGTTTGAGACAGTGTCTCCTATTGTCTTAGACTCACCAATTAGCCCAGGAGGCTGGCCTATGAGCCCTGAGATCCTATTGTCTCTCCCCAGTACAGGGATATAAGAGACGGGCACCATTCTCTGCTTTTTGCGTGGGTTCTGGGTTTTGAATTCAGGTCTTCCTGCTTGCAAAGCAAGTGCTTTACTGCCTGAGGCATCCCCTGAGCTCCACAGGATCTCTCTCTCTCTCTCTCTCTCTCTCTCTCTCTCTCTCTCTCTAAGACCAATCAGATACTTGTTACTATGCTGTGGAGGAGGGTTCGGTGCAATGCTTCAGCTAACACCACTGGACTAGATGGAAACTCTAACTTTGCTACTTCCCACCACTCAGGGGTATCACCGGCCATTTGCTCAGTCTCACTTCACTTCAGAGAACATGTTACTATCCAAACTCGGTCCTCCCTCCCCCCACATCAATTTTTATTTCCCTTTCTCTCCCGACCTTATTTGGTGTCAGTCCTGTTCTTGTGGTCTTGCAGTTTGATGTGAAGTGTCTGTCCCCACCCCCTACACACCCCTGTGTTTGATTGAGTACCTGGCCTCAGTGAGCTACACTGCCCGAAGAAGTTACGAACCTTTAGGTGGCCCAGCCTGGCTGGTGGAGGTGAGTCGCTGGGGAGCCTAGTCGCTGGGGAGCCGACCTCTCTGAGACAGCCTAGCCTGGCCACGTCCAGTCCTGTTCTCTGCTTCCTGAGTCACCAGGAAGGAACCACCCACCATGCCTCCCCGTCCACGATTGGCTGGCCCCTGGGAAACCCTGAGCTATGATAAACCCTCTTCTTTCAGTTGCTTCTGTCCAATGTTTGTGTTATCCCTGGGAAAACTGACCACTTCAGGCCCATCCTGTTTGCGTTTATAATACCACAACTGCAAAAACAATCGGGGATGGCCACGTATCATGTGACAGCAAGGGTAGTGGCATGGTCATCGCCAGTGACCAAGACAGTGGCTAGGACCCAGTAGCTGCCCATTGCACATTTGTGAATGAACCTGTCTTGCTCATGGTAGCCTCAAGAAGTATTGTGTTCAGAGACACATTCTGTTTTGTTTTCCCTGAATTAAATCTCCATACATCATCTTTCAGGATGGCCCTCCAGTCTGTTATGTTTTCTTACGGAGGCTCACGCTGCTAGTTAGTCCAGAAGTCCTATGTCAGTGAGTCCCACTCATAAGGCTCTTAAAGTTGGATAGAAAGGTGGTCAGACTTCTTTCTTCCCTGTGGGTAGAAAATGGAGAGGTGAAGCTCAGGAACTCTCAGCTGTCATATTTCTTTCTCTTTGAGTCAGAGAACTGGAGAAGACGGGTTCAAGAGACAAGAGACAGGGAGAGGGAGAGGCCATAACTGTTCCCCAGCTACCCCGTCAGAGAAGAGAGATGAGGGAGGGTGTGGCCAAGCTTAAGCGTGTGCGCCCTTTTATCTTCATAACAGCATCATTCTTTTTTTGTGTGTGTGTTTGATTAAGCTTATTTGGGTTTGGTTGCTACCACTTGTGAGTCTTAACTAATAAAATCTACTGAATGAGTTAATTACTGATTATGATTCAAATAGAAAAAGAGTGGAGGTCTGAGGCATTTGGGTTCATGGACATAATAAAAAAAAAAACCAGTGAGTGGTGGAACTGAGCTGGAATCTAACAAAGTGAACCAGGACACAAGCACAGCATGCCAAATTCAAGACAAAGAAGAATCCATTCTATTTATGTCCAAGGTGGTTTTGAGGGTCAAATGAGCCAAGAGGTGTGATAGAACCTAGGTATGAAACCAAAGAGAAGTTTATAACAAGCTTAATATTTATTCTGGGCTGTGTGTGGGGGGAACCACCGAAAGTCCAAAGCACAGACATTATCACAATCGCGATGGCCTGTTTTCTGTAGCTGTCAATGTGCCCTCAAATACTCAACCCTCCTGTGCCTTCCCCAGAAGAGTGCTTTATCCCATGCTGCCAAAGCACCTGGCCCATCTGCATCCTGGAGGTGTGTTCAAAGTCACCAGGCTCCTAGCCTCCAATCTGTGCTACTTGGAGACACTCTCAGACTGAAGGACACACTCAGGCCAGTGTAGGGTGACATTTGTGACTGAATAATGCATGAAAGCAGCAGTGGCAAAGTGGGAGCCTCCCTGAGTGGGTGGTGGGTTGAGAACAGGGTCTCGTCTCCATCTGTGGAGACCCCGCTATCCCATCGTGGGTCTTTCAGCCTAATGGTTTAGTTCATACAGATGAAGGACATTTATTGAGTTTCCTTCAACCGTCCTTAGCTGACTGGAAGGGGGATGGGTTGGCAAATAAGACAATGTCACTTAGGAGTCCACAGAGATTCTCAAGTCTCCTAAGCCTACAGAGTCCCTCAGGGTGGCAGAGGGACCAGGGGACAGTCATCTGTCATCTATTGACAAGGACTGGAGTCTAAAGAAAACGCATGTTATCTATCACCATGCACAAAACTCAAGTCCAAATGGATCAAAGACCTCAACATAAAGCCAGCCACACTGAACCTCATAGAAGAGAAAGTGGGAAGTACACTTGAACGCATTGGCACAGGAGACCACTTCCTAAATAGAACCCCAGTAGCACAGACACTGAGAGAAACAATTAATAAATGGGACCTCCTGAAACTGAAAAGCTTCTGTAAAGCAAAGGACACAGTCAACAAGACAAAATGACAGCCTACAGAATGGGAAAAGATCTTCACCAACCCCACATCAGACAAAGGTCTGATCTCCAAAATATACAAAGAACTCAAGAAATTGGTGATCAAAAGAACAAATAATCCAATTTAAAAAAAATGGAGTACAGACCTAAACAGAGAACTCTCAACAGAGGAATCTAAAATGGCTGAAAGACACTTAAGGAAATTCTCAACATCCGTAGTCACCAGAGAAATGCAAATCAAAACAACTCTGAGATTCCATCTTACACGTGGAAAAATGGCCAAGATCAAAAACATTGATGACAACTTATGCTGGAGAGGTTGTGGGGAAAAGGGAACACTTCTGCATTGCTGGTGGGAACGCAAGCTGGTACAGCCCCTTTGGATGTCAGTGTGGTGATGTCTCAGAAAATTAGGAAACAACCTTCCTCAAGACCCAGCAATACCACTTTTGGGTATATACCCAAAGGATGTTCAATCATGCCACAAGGTCATGTGCTCAACTATGTTCATAGCAGCATTGTTTATCATAGCCAGAACCTGGAAACAACCTAAATGCTCCTCAACCAAAGAATGGATAAGGAAAATGTAGTACATTTACACAACAGAAAAAAATAGCATTTAAAATTTTGCAGGCAAATGGATGGAGTTAGAAAACATCATTTTGAGTGAGTTAACCCAGACTCAAAAAAACAATTATCATATATAATCATTCGTAAGTGGTTTTTAAACATAAAGCTAAGAAAACCAGCCTACAAATCACAATCCCAGAGAACCTAGACAACAAAGAGAACCCTAAGAGAGACACGCATGGATCTAATCTACATAGGAAGTAGAAAAAGATAAGATCTCCTAAGTAAATTGGGAGCATGGGGACCTTGGGAGAGGGTTGAAGGGGAGGGGAGAGGCAGGGAGGTGAGCAGAGAAAAATGTATAGTTCAATAAAATCAATTTTTAAAAAAAGCGCATGTTGCTCAAGAGGTAGCC